GCTGACCAGCCCGGGGGGGGGGGGTACCCCTCTCTAATCAGAGTGTTCTGCTGGGGCCTGGCCATGCTTCCCTCCTCCCAGCTCAGCATTGTGGAAGGGAAGGGAAGGGAAGGGAAGGGGGGGCTGCTGTAGCTCCTCCCCGGCTTCTAACCTGAGCTCCTGCAGGCACATGCCTGCATTTTTTTCAGTCCAGAGGGGATGTCTCTGTGGTTACAAACTGATTCAGTCTAGGCAGGTTAAACTAACCTGCAAAGATTGAATCAATTCAGGCTCAGGCTTTTTGAATGTCTGTCCCTACCTAAATGGGCTGTTTACATAGCACAGGATCATTGGAATACACTCCAGCCTCACTGTCTCCTGCTCAAATATATATGACACTCCCCTTCTTCTTTGAGTAGAAGGAAAGAGTTGTCATGGAGCTATCTATGTTGGCTCTGTGCCATTGTTGATTCCCATATGACCATTTCCAGCTACTCCACACATGCATTCTTACCAGGGAGTGAGAAACTGTTCCCTTTTCCTAACCTACTTCCAAGATAAGTGAACAGGTAAAGAAGCTGCTACAGCTCATCTCCAGTAGTCTTACCATTCAGAGGGGGATAATGAACAAACTTACTAAGGTTTTTAGTGAGCAAAAATCCCAGACAGAATAGTTTGTCTGTTCTCAAATTGCACCAAAACTCTTCCTTAGCAGTCTCCAGACATTTACTCCCGTTTGTGCTGCCTGAAACTGGTCCATTACACTAAATTGGGTTCTAAACTCAATAGAAAATAAAAAAATACAGATGTAGCTAAGAAATCAAAAGGATGCTAAGAATAGATTTGTTTCTCTGTGACTGTTTCTGCGGATTTGTAAACAGTTCATTACCCAGGGAATTCCATATCCCTGCGAAAGCCAATAGAGTTGATTCCAAATAAAGTTGTGTATCTGGTAATGGAAATCAACAAATACATGTTCCAGTTCAGAGCAGCCTCTCCAAGTCTATATTTTAAACATCAGTTGTAAAGCAGGCTGCCAGCTATTATTATGTGCTGGAATTGCTGTCCATTTACAAGCCTGAACGCACTTTACGCTCATGCATGCACCGTAAGTTCACTAGCTGCTCCACACATAGTAGTTATTCTCATCCTGTTCTCTCCTCTTCAGAAATTCCCTCTTGCATGTGAGAAAAGAGGCTTCAGTACCTTGTTCACTTTTTAAAAATACATCTTGCAACGAATCTGTTTCATGCTCATATGTGAAACTCCTTCAGATTGTTGCAGGTTAGGAGCCACATCTCCAACTTGTGTAAACCAGCATAGCTGCACTGAGAGCCTGATGGAAAGTGACAGTTGTAGAATAGCAATTCATGTGGTACCACACTTAATTGCCCTAAAAGTGATTAATTTTTTTTACAGCCAACAACCAGTGAATTTTATCACATTGCAGATCTAGAAACGTGTTGGCATGGAGTTCTTTTACATTTAACATTCAAATAGAACCCAGCCAGCTCTCAGTGCATTGTTTCTATTACACCAGTTGGCTACCATCTACTTCTACTATATACTGTGCATAACCAAGTGGCTTTGAACAAAATGGACATTACTACTGCTAATATACAAAATGATTGATTGTTAGTATGTCTTTGTGCTGCAGTTGCATCTAGAGCTGTGATTCTCTAATGAGTCACCCCTCATTAGACTCAAAGCATCTCTCCACATCTTTTTGGTATTCAGTGCAGAGGCAGATTCAGGATTTGGCAAAGGGGAATGCAGGAGCAGTCACCTACAATGTGTAGGTTGCTCCCAGGCTCCACCCAACCCACCAGTGAAGGCAGACCCACCAGTGCAGACAAAATCATTTCTGGGGATTTTTGTAAGTTCCCAAAGCACATAAGCATCTCTACCTTTCCCTGCATGCCCAGAGGCACATGTCCTCCCCTACCCCCCTTTTCTGTCCCTCCTCCTCCAGTTGCTGCTGCTTTCCCAGCTGTCCTGGGGGTGGGGAAGCTTTGGAGCTTACTCCTACCCTCTCCAGCTGGGCTGTGCAGGGTCTGGGCTTAACTGGCAACAGTGGCAATAACAAGGGGAGGAGGTGGATTCCCCCACACCCACACCCCATGTGGCCCAGTTGGAGCAGGCAAGATCAGTTCTGAAGTTGCCCCTACTCCCAGGAAAGTGGGGAAAGCAGCATGGCAGGTGGGAGACAGAGGAAGAGGAGAGGAGGGGAGGGGAGGGGAGGGGAGAAGATGTGCCTCTAAACACAGGGGAAGGCAGAGACATGACTCTTCCGCTTTAAAAAAGTTCCCAGAGGCTCCAGCAGCACAATCCAGTCCATCCAAAAGGGGAGTGCAGCCAGACCACTGCACCCCATCCAGATCCACCCCTGACTGAGTGGCACCCCATATCAAAAACTATTAATTACATTGCTTACCTCCTTGCAGAGGGGCTGGGCAGGGGAGCAACCAGACATGAAAGACCCTACGCCTGTTCTTGTCTCTTCTCACCTGCTCATCTCCTCATACCTCACCCTTCAAATGATATGGCAGTGGCATTCTGGTTGAGAAGCACTGATCCAGAGGTAATAATCAGGGAATGGGGCCCCTTTGTTAATGCACAGATTTGTGATTAGTCCCAGCCTGTAGGGTTCATGATCTAGGTTAGGACAGGACAGAACAGACCAACAAGACAACAAGGGAATAGAGAGGCAGCTACAGATGGTACTGATTTTGTTAATAACACTTGGAACTTCACATTTGCAAAGTATTATACATTCAAAACTAATTTTTGCCATTTGCATAGAAGTATAATGACTCTCTCCTGACCCTTAACAGTTTTCTTCTCAGATAGTGGGATACTTCTCAGAGATACTGCTGTCCAATTCTGGAGCAACATTGTATGGAGATTCCAAGACCATTAAAAGTCAATAACAAGATTGTTCTTTTTAAATCAAAGTAAAAGCCTGATTGGAAGTCAGTGCAGCTATCAGAATATGCAGTGATCATTTAGAACAGCTACTGTAAATAGCCTTTCTATAGTATTTTAAGTAACCTGAAGCCTTTGAAGAAGTGGATAAATTATTCAGGTAGAAAATCTTTATAACATTAGGTTCTCAGGATCACTGAAGAACAGACTTAGACCTTAGTATTACTCTGATATAATATATTGTGTTCTTCAAGTGGTAACAATGATATTCTCACTGAACTGCGTGTAATGTGAAGCTGCTGAAGAAGCAGTGCAACTCTAACAGCTAATACCTGGACACACAAGTCAGAAATCCTTAGTTCTATTCTTCCTATTAATCTTCACCAGTGACTCATTCTGCGACTTTGTCAAGTTTCTATTCCATAGAAACCACAAGTGCTGAGCACCTCTAAAATTGGGTGAGTTACCTCTAAGCCGCAGGGCAACCATCTGAAAAATAACTCAGATTCAAAACAACACTTAAGAGTCTTATTTGCAGTGACAAGGAGAAGAGCACAAGTCTATAGTATGCCACAAAAGGAGAAACTGTTGCATGTACATGAGTCAACCAACATGTTTTCAGTTTTGTTCAATTTAGTTTTGGAAAGTGTTGAGCCATTCAGTCCTGAACCTATGCCAGGCACTGCAACAAACCCAACACTGCAATTGAAGCATCAGGAGTGTGGGAGAGTTACATCTCACTGTCATCAGCATATGGTATATGATAACATATTCGTGAAAAACTGAAGCCAGAGGTAAAGTATGAAGCCAGCACACTGCCCTGAGGAACACTGCAATATCTTGGAAGGCTGACCAAAGCAGGAAGCAGTGTCTGAAATCTGATATCGGGCTGTTGTAAACCACAAGATATTAAAATGCATTCTAGTAAGACCTCATGATGCACAAGACCAGAAGGTGGATGACAGATCAAAGAGAAGAGCAAATACTTTGCTCCAATATCAGCTTAGGCAAAGAAGTTACTGCAGAAATCACACAAAGCTTTCCCTATATGGCCTAATCAGAACCTTTGCCACAACTTATCAAATGTTTTATCTTGCAGTGAATCCAAAGCTTCACATTGACTTTCTTTTCAAGGATTTCTGCCACTGTTGGTTACCTTGAAAATGGGAGTCAGTGTATAGGTTTTTCAAGTTGTCAGGGGAGATAGCTGTGCCAAATAAAGAGTAACAATCAGCATCATAAAAACAATCAAGAGTCCTACCAATAATGTGAATTGACAACTATTTATCTTTTAAATTACTCTTTCCATCAGAATCCTGGAATAGATGTATCAACTGTTGCATTCTAGAAAATGTCGATTTAAAAAAAGCTCTTGCACTAAAGCTTTCGTTAAGCTAATAAATACAGTGCATCTATTATGCAATTAAATAAAGTACAGTATTTCAATACCCTCCAATTCAGCATAATAAGAATGAATGATGTGGATGTCACCTGTGCCTTTCAAACTGATGCTTAGAAAATGCTCCCAATATTTGGTAAAAGCAGAATACTAAATCCCATCTCATAATAATTGAGAAGTAATGTTCCAGTTATCCTTCCTCTGCCCACAACCTCCAAACAGTGACATCTCTGCACTTCATTGAACAGAGTGAGCGATCCATTTTGCAAGGAAACAATAAAGTGACTTGAGCTGCATTAGAACAAGTCCAGCCCTGGTTCCCTGTCCCTCTTAGAGGCACTGTCAGAGAAAAGACCTTTTTGTCTTCAACTCAGCCCCATTCAGAAAGCAGAGGCTCCCATTGGCTTCAAAGGGCAAAATGGTCACACGAACCTTGCCCAGCCCTAAACAAAGCAAAGGCTGTTTCCTTTTATTAACAAGCACACCTTGCTCAATGCCATGTATGCACTGCCAGAGCTGCATAAAAGGGGATCAGGTCATTACCAAGGGCTGATTGAAGACAATACCTATCAAACGGAACAGCCCTTTAAATGGATCCACGGTGCCCCCCTCCCCTTGTGCCAAGTGCTGATGCAGAGAGCCGGAATCAGCAGCAGCAGCTCCTTCCTCCTCGGCTCTCGGCATCCAAAGTACTTACTTCTCCCCAGCCCCTCCGCTTTCCACTCGGTCTCCTCCACTGCCCCGTAGCGTCTCGTTGGCTTCTCTGCCTCCATGCTGGCAGAGATGGATCTCTTCAACTCCATGCCCGAGTGCATGGCTGCCCGGACTGCCTCGGCGTGGGGCTTCCCAGCTCACTCCATCCTCGCGGGGGAAGCAGGGCTCCGGCTCAGCCCTTGCCTAGGCTGGACTGGAAGGCGCTGCTGAGCTCACTGCATCTCTCTGGCAGCCGAGGAGGAGAGGGGAGGGATGCAGCGCACATGCTCAGTGCAAGGATGCTGGCAACAGAAGCGCCGGGTGAGAGCAGGGCACAAAGGGAGGGGGAGGCAGGGAAACGGTGGGAACAATACCAAGCAGGGGGTAGGGGAGAGGAGGGCATGGGCTGGAGGGAGGGAGATCCCACCCCAGGAAGCAGAGGATGCTGCCGGGGTGGGGGGGAGGGAGGGATTTACCAGGCAAGAGGATGCCTTGGCCCGAATCTCCCATCCCCCGAGCTCAGGTGGAAGAGAAGAGGAGACTCCTGTGTGTAAAATCCAATCACCTGCTCCCTCCCCCAGGGCTACCATTATCACTGCCTATGTCCCCTCCCCTAAAGCGCGCTGTGCTGCCAGCAGTGCAAGCATCATCATCACTCCCATTCACAACTCAGGCATAGGGAGAGTTAAGCAACTTGCTCACTGCTGTACAGCAAATCAGCCACAAGGCTGGGCTCCTCCCTCATGGCTCCTGACTCCCACATCCATGCTTTAAACACTGGACTATACTCTCCCTTTGAATGGGTTTGAATGAGTGATGGGTTTCCTAGCTCTCCCCAAACATCTCACCTTTAATGTCTTTGTCCCCTCTGTGACCTTCTGGGCATGCCCACTCCCCCCTCCTCCCCACCTGGATGTGCCATTTTTCCATCCATGAAGGTCAGCCAGGTAAAGGCTCTGTCCCCATAATCCTCCTAACTTAAGGCAGATTCAGGACAGAGACAGGGACTTTCTTCAGGACAGGGATTTTCTTTGTGCCTTGTATAGCACACAGTATATATACCCGCTATACACCCCCCCCCCCCCCCCCCCCCCCCATAACAACACACCCCACCAAC